TCCTCTGGACTCTCTCCAGCAGCTCCACATCTTTCTCATGCTGGATTTTCTTCCATAACCTTCTGGCTCCAGGTGCTCTGATCCCGGATCATGCTGGCACACGTGTGCTGCTGCTGTGCTGCTCCTCCTGGGAGTCAGGTGGTGCCTGGACCCACTTCAATCACAACCCAAATTCACCCTCATCCCCTTCTCTTCTCCCCTCAAGTTTCCCCACAAAGCTCTGTGCTTTGGGACCTGAACAAGGAGCAATTCTTTGTATCCCAAAGTTACTGGGAAGGTGTTTGTTACACAGACATGCAGCACCACTGCCAGATCTGAGAGAATTGGATATTCCCCATCAAAAGAGCTTTTTTTCCTCATAAAGAAATCAGAATCACAGCTCCTCACGTTCTTTTGACACTGGCACACACTGGTTTGTGTCTCCTGCCAATCCCACATCCCCACCTGCCTCTTCCCCTGGCCAGCACATCCCACATCTCAGCCAGCAAGGCTCCCACAGAGCCTGCCCTCTGTTCCCAATGTTCCTGTCACCCTTTTCCAGCACAGACCTCAGGATTTCTCAGTGTGTGATGAAGGCCAGGGAAGTTTTCCATCATTGCCACACCAAACCATCCTTGTAGATGAATGGTACAGACTCCCAGCAGGATTAAACATCCAGTCTGGAGATGGCATGTCAGGGGGATGGATGCCTGGAGGCTGCTCAGGGTTAACCCTCCTGGGAGAAATCCCAGATTTGGGCTCTTTTAAAAAGTGGGATTTAGAAAAACGAGAAGAAAGCAGAGCTACTATCAGACCAACACACCTTTTCAGAAAAGACCTGGAGAAGCTCTCTGTGATCCAGCCACTTCCTGGCACACCAGCACAGTGTCACCATCCACCATCCCAAAGCAGGAACACAACAATTCCCTCCTCTGGAACCACACGGTTCCCAATATTCCCCAAGGCACATCCCACCCCCGCCCAGGAAGGTGACACAAAGCAACTCGTGTGTGTCAAGTCCCCCAAAAAAACCAGCAGGTCTCCAACACAACAGATGTGCAGATGAGAGTCAGGTACAAAAAGCCATTATCTTCCATCAACAGAAATGCATTTTTCTTTCACAAATAACACCCATTAGCAGCTCCAAGGAGAACAAGCCCCACTCGGATTTTTTTGGCAGATACAATACAAAGATTTTGTAGAATTCACAGGTTCAAAAGGACTAATGTGAAAGATTATTTTGCAATTAAGCAAGCAATTTTCTCTCCTCATTGTTCCCGGACCGTAAGGGTTTTTAAATGTGGGCAGAAGGATTTATTCATCACAATAATAATAATAAAACGAAATATTAAATCAATGAATCTCTTTGCATGCAGCATAAAGCTCACATGGCTATTAAGCTCAGTAGCGTCCTGTCACATAAACCACATGCAGTTTGTGTATTTAAGTACCATCTCCCTCTTTTATTTTTCCCTTCCCTGATTTGTAAGGCATTATCCTTCCATTTGTCCTCTAAACACAAGCAGATTCAGAGCACTCAGTGTTAGTTCTTGTTAGTGGCTCTGCTCCCTTGCTCTCTTTATGAGCAGAGATGTATATTTAATTTTGATTGTTAACAATGGCCAGTGAAGAAAGTTGTGCTGGGAAGACAAGGAAGTCCTAAAAGAAATAAAAATTTGAGGAGAATTCACTCCTTACAGGTCAATGCCCAAGTGAGTACATTTTAATTGGTCTGAAAATGAATGTTGGCTTTTGAAGGTGTCACTTCTTCAAAAAAAATCAACCCAAATACATGCAGAAGTCAGTTACAACCTTGAGAGCATGGAAGCTCTCACAGCCTTGGCTTGTAATTCCTTCTCTTGTAATCTAAAATGAGAAGTGAGTTTTGAGGTCTTTGCAGTGACACTAATTCAGTGGGTCCCTCTTTTGTTTTAATAAAAAATTCATCTGGCAAAGTGCAGAAACAGTTCCTACTTAGGTATTTATAAGGTGTCAACTGTCCTCACAGGGAGGCACTTAAAGAGCCTCAGCAAAAATTTCCAAGGAGCAACAATCTTTAGCTTTAAGCACCAAAATTGACAATAGGCTCCTCAAAAGCAATTCCCATTCTATTGAGTGCTAAATACCTGGCACCTCTTGACTTTCTCCGCTGATACAAATATTCAAATGAGGCACAAACACCTTCAACCATCCCCTGAGCCGTCACAGCACGCAAACCCCACCAAGGACAAGCCCCGTTGTAGCATCATCTCTCTTACCATGATGGGGACGCCGATGTCTGGCCACAAGAGATCCTCGGAGGGAAGCTTGGGTGAGTTCCACACCACCACAACTTTATTTAAGTAGGGGAGACCATTGAGCCTTTCTAGGGAGTTCATCAACACTTCCTCCCGCTCGTAAGTCAACATCACCACGGTGAACTGCTCCCGTGGGACGTTACCACCCAGAGCAGCCTGGAACTCCTTCCCAGAGCCACCTGCTCCTCCACCAATGGGTCGAAATCCAGTCCCAGACCCCAAAAATTTCGCTTCTGATGGTAAAACGGGGTCAAAGGGAGTGTAGGGGAAGAGGTGGAAAGGCCCCGGGGCAGAATTCCAATTCCTGTAGATATCCATGGCGGTGAGGGTGAAATTGCGGAGATATTTGGGAGAGGCATAGGGTGGCTCTGTTTCCACAGGCCCCAAGTCCAGGTCACCATTGTCTGCCATGTTGGGGTCTGTACCAGCAGCTTTGCCAGAGCGGTGGGGGATCTCCACAGCGGGTTCTTCTCGGATAGGAGCAGCTGGGATTTGGATTCGAGTCCTTATGATAGCTAAGACCGTGCTGAAGACGTTGTCGGAGGTGGAGAAGTAGGTCTCCCACAAGAAGCGGCCCTGCCTCCTCATGGCAAGGAGATCATTGTCAGAAATGCTTCTCAGAAGAAAGTGCACTTCTGTGATACGTGGCTTTGGTATAATTAAGGCTGCCTCGTTCCACCGGATCACATCGTTGTAGGGTAGCTGAACTTGCTCTCCGAGAATCACCGGGATGGCCCCGACCTCCAGGGCCTCAAACAGTCTCATGGTGCACCCGGCGGAGATCACTAAATGGGTGTCCCCGGGGGTGATGATCAGTGCAAAAGTAGAAAGCTTCAGTAGCTCTAGTCTGTCGTCCCTTTCTCCACACAGAGCCCACTCAGTGGGCAGACTCGCCTTAGGCTGGTTCTTACAGGTGAACTCCACCAGAACAAAGTCCAGCTTGCTGTCCTGAACAGCCTTCAAGGTGGTGATGATCCGGTCGTCGTAGTCGGCCGGGGCGTTGCCTTCGATCTCCTCCTCGAAAGAACGAACCTCCTGCAAGCTGGAGCGGAGAGATTCGATCTTCTCCCCCTGGAAACTGAACAGGTACTTACGCTTGACCGGCACCTGGGGTGGGATTTCTAGGAAGTTGGGCTCGGACATGGCGTGGACCAGAGGCGATATCACAATGTCAAACCCCGGTCGATACTGGGCGTCGTAAAAGGTGGACTGGGCGATCATGGCGCGCCCCGTGCTGATGTTGTACATGAAGTTCTGAGTTTCCGACTTCCTCGAGAGATTGATGATGAGATGGTTGTGTCCATCAGTCCTCCAATATGGCAAAGAGTGCAACTGTTGCTCTAGTTCAGTAGGTTTTGGCATTACGGGCTCTTGCATTTCCCCCACTAAAATTATATACACACAAGCAATATTTGCATTCTCAGTAACATAAACGTTAGTTCTGACAGTCGCCTCAAAGGCCTGTTTAATCAAAGGGTCTAAGGAACTACCAAAAGGGTAATCGTCACTGTTGTAGACATAGACTGGAAAGCCAGATGTCAGCGGGCAGCGTGAGTAGTCAAAGCAGTTGTGCAGCCTGCAGTTCCTGTTGGATTTTGGCAGGGGGAAGGTCACATCATCCTTGTCTGGCAGCAGCCGGATGGGCAAGGAGAGCTTGGGCTGGTTCTGAGCCATCAGCTCTTTGTAGGAATGCTCAGTCTGACTGATGACGTTCTTCAGCTGCAGCAGGTCCTGCTTGGCATTTTCAATGCTCTTCTTGCACGCCTCGATCTTCAAGTTGAGCTTGGCGATCTCGCTGTTGAGCTCCTGCCGCTTGGCCTCGAGCTGGAGCAGCTCCTCGCTGACCGACTCGCGGATGCGGCACAGGTCCTGCACGTGCTTCACCTCGCACAGCTCGTTGCCGGTGCGGGGGCCGAAGATGCGTTTGCCGGCATCGTCCGCGTCGTCGATGGTGGTCAGGTAGTAGTGGGCAATGAGGGGGAAGAAAACGAGGATGACGAAGAGGGTGAAGCTGAGCCAGGTGAGCCGGATCCGACTGGACCACCTCAACACCCAGGGCTGGCCTCCGTTCCCCACTCCCCCATTGCGCAACATCGTATAGCCAGTCATGAGTTCCGAAGTCGCCGCGCGCGCAATCACGTTGGGTCAGTAGCCATAACCAAAAGAGTTTTTACGGCAAGTCTCTCCAAGGGAAATGTTATTGTGCCTGCTCAACGAGAAGCCAATGGAAGGGGAATTTCATCTTCTTGCCGTGCCGGCGGCTCCTCCACGGTCGTTTTGTTGATCCCGTTAGACTCGATCATTGACCTTCTCACCCACCCCCCAGCCCACCCCTGGTCCACGGGCAACCTTTGCTGGAAGTGTCACAGCGTTGTCATGGTGACTCAGAGTCGAAACCGGCGGAAGAAAAACACAGTGGGACCGAGCCAAACTCCACGGCTGCCGCCGACATCCTGCATTACCATGCAATGAATATGCAGAGGCAGCAGCCCTTGTGCAGGAGGAGCCAGAAGGGACTCACAGCACTGTCAGTCTCTCTCATCGCTGCTGGGAGGGTGAAGCTCTGCCATTCCTACAAGAGAACAATCACACAGTCAGGCAACACAACCAAAATGACCCATTGGTGACCTAAGGCATGCTCAGATTTAACAGCAATTGTCCTCTCTCAAAAGAACAACCTCTGGGTGTAAGAGCCAAAACAGGGACTCCAGGTTGATTTTTAAAATGCTGTTTATTGTGTGCAGAGGATGCAGCAATTCACAGGTCGTGGGTACAAGAGCCCAGCCCACAGCTGCAGGTTCCTCTGAAGCCACCCCAGTTCTGGTTACAATGCATTAGAGATTTTTTTTTTGTAGAGCATCTTAAAACACGACAACTAATTAATACTTTTACTATTACCTACAGCCTATTATAACTATCAACATTATCATATACATGTTACTATTTTCCAATCACAAAAAGTTAGTATGTTACAGTTTAAGCTTAGAAATTGTTCTTCCATTTTTTTGCAGGGGAAAATGTTGAAGTTTTTCTTTTTACTTGCAACGTGGCATTTTTGTTCACCTGTAAAAATCTTTTTGTTTGGTAAAAACATTTTTTATTTGAAGCAAATTTATCCTTTGTTCTGAGTCATAAAAACTCCTTCCAACTCATTTGACCTTTTAGCTGTTTAGTTATCCAATAAGACTGACTCAGTAATTTTTTTTATTCTATATCAAATCTTACTATCATTTTTATTCCTTCTTCAAATTCTACATTCAAAAATCTTTCTGTTATAAATACATATTGGCAAAACTTTCCTGTCAAATCCTTGTCCTTATCCACCTGCTCTCCCTGTGATCCTGGGACACAGCAGTGCTGGGAATTTTAATCGCCATTGTTCTGCTCTGGTGACTGGAGCTGATGAGGAATTTTTAGATGAAGCGTTTTGCTTTCATTTCCTGCTGGAAAATTTTGATTCAGTGCATGAGAAAGTTTAAAGGGAACGTACTTGTGTTGGTTACAATTAACTGGCTGGCTGCATATGAGGGAATTTTTGGTCAACACTGGAAAAGTCTACACTGTACATCAAAGTGAAGATGCTGAAGTCAGGATCTGTTGGGAACCTCCTGGGAGAAATTTTTCCCTGTGAGGGTGGTGAGACCCTGGCACAGGGTGCCCAGAGAAGCTGGGGCTGCCCCTGGATCTCTGGAAGTTTCCAAACCAGGCTGGACAGGGCTTGGAGCAACCTGGGATAGTGGGAGGTGTCCCTGCCCATGGCAGGTGGAACTGGATGAGTTTTAAGGTCCCTTCCCTCCCAAACCATTCTGGGATTCTATGAAATTCAGCTCTGACTCAGCTCTAGGTCAACAGATTTAAATCTAGGCCACATCAATTTGCTGTCACTAGAAAATCTCTTTTATTGGCATCCTCCAAGGTACTGAAGTTTCTGGGATATTCTTTCATACACTGGACTTCCCACATCACTGATGAATGTAGAGCTGGGCTTAGCACCAGCTCCTGCACGGCCTCAAGAGAAGCTCATTCATTTCCGTTTCAATTTTTAATTAGAAGAAAGTCATCCACGCCGGTGACGGTCATTTTTCACTAAATCTATTTAATGCCCCTCTCATCTACTCATCAAGAATTCCCAGAAAGAAGGTGAGGAAGCAAATCCCAGCTGAAAGAGAGATCTGGAAAGGAGCCAAAAGCAAAATAAGTTCACCTTAAAGCAGAAGAGTGAAGTCAGGAGAAATTTTCAGTGCTGTACTCAAGTGCACATCAGAGAAAATAAAGGGGAAATTCGATTTTAACCAGGAAAAATCATCACGAAGAGGGGAAATATGTGGGGTAATAAAGCACAATCCCTAGGCCTACTGTTACACAGCCATTTGTTGTCACTAACTTAACACCCCACGATTAAATGGGATTTCCATCCCCCACCACCCCCAACCCAGTTACAGAGCAGAATGAACACTTAAAACTAAGACAGATTTTAAATTCATGACATTGGCAAGCAGCAGTGGTGTAAATCTCAAAAAGCCAGGAGGATAAAGGGGCTAAAAAAGTCAGCAAAAGGCTAAATCAGCTTTCTTGGATCTTGGCAGCACACAGCCATGGGCAGATGGGAGGCTCCAGCCTCTGGGACTGCTCTGCCCAGCAGCAGGATTTTAGCAGGCACCAATATACAACTGAAGGCAAAAAATAATAATAATATTAATATTTTAAAAGCTTTTCTTTTGTTTTTCCTTCTTTCTCCCTTTTTTCAAGTCCTCTGCAGGAAGTGAAGCTCATGTTCTGTGTGTGTGCCAGTCCCTGCTACTTCAGCCTGCTCTCATGGGGGTTGCAAAGATCCTCCAGTTGTCACCAGTTTTCTGCAAACAGCTGGCCAGGAGATGAGCTGCCCTAATAATGCTTTTCTTGAGGGAAATGCCAAAGCACACACTCACTTGAACACCACAGAATCTAAAAAATCAGCTTAACTTCAAGGCACACACGGGGAAAACAAGCTTTGTTGGGTTTTTGGGGGGATAAGTGGGGTCAAACCCTGCAGAATTATAAATGTGGCCACATGGACACGTTGCATTGGGCTGGTCAGAAAAAACTGCAGCCTCAAAGGTAAAACTCCATCAAAATCTTATTCCTTTGTGGTTACTTTGCTCATTTATAAGCCATAAATGGTAATTAAATGGCAAACTGGACTCCCTGAAATGGCAACTGGGGTTTTTTGAAAAGCCAAATCCATCACCCCACACCTGATCCTCAGCATTTGTTCTGTCACCTGATGCTTCCAGTGGCTCCTCTGCTCCTTCCCTTCCTTGACACAGAACAAAATTCATCCTCCTCACCTCAAAATGTGGGTTGTGAATTAAAAATATCCTTATGCTCATAAGTCTTGAGGTTGCCACTGTGACTCAGTTGCTCTCTTAGAAAACACCACATGGGAAAGAGCAGAGGGATTAAAAATGCACCACACGTGGCTTGGGATTAGCTAAAAGTATGGACTGTCAGTATGAAATATGTGCTGGTGATAAAATGAGCACTTTAGACACACTCCTGGACTCTTCTTCACTATTAAGACTTTATTTCCTCATCAACTCAATAGAGCCTGAGGTTGTCACACGTTGCCATTAGGACATCATATAAAAAAAAGACAAAGTAAAAAACCCAAACTGTGGTTTTATCAAGAGAGACTTCAGAGCTGTATTTATCAGCCCTGGAGAAAAAGGCTGCTGATTCCCATCATTCCCAAAAAGAAATTTGGGAGGAGGAGAAGCAGGATAGCTGCTGGGCTTTCCAGCCAACTCATCCTTTTCACTCCCCAGTACTATTTAATTTTTTAAACTTACCAAGCTCCACACTGAAAACTCTTGTTGATGTTGTAGCACAGTGTTGCTGCCTGGATGGAGCTAATTGCACACACACAGAAAGAGGCAGGAAGAGCTCTTAGGAGATCAGCAGATCAATAATTACCAAATGCCAAGCTGACTGAATTCTCAGGCACGACAGGTTTGCACACTACAGCTCCTTCTCCCAGGAAATTCAGCTGCTCAGAGCACATTGTCAACGCTCAGGCTGCATTCCCAGCTTTCCTCAGCTCCACAGCAGGCACTCCCTGTGCCAGTGAAGTTATGGGAATACCTGAGGTTCTCCCTCATTTTGCATTTCTAGAAATAACCTGGCTGCTCTGATTCACGAGTGTCTGTGGAGTCATTACCGTGCAAAAGTTCACCTACTCCTCCCTGCTTACACCTCTGTTACCCATCTCCCTGTAAAATTAGGGAAATGTTGCTCTTTTCTCAGCATATTTGTGAACAGAGCCCGGAAAATTTAAACTTACGGTCCTTCAGAGCTCAGCAAAGTAATGCACAAGTGTGAGGCAGAACACGGTGGCACAGACTGCACTGTGGGGAGGAAAATCCTCCTGCACCTGCTAAATCAGAGTTCCCAAACTCTCTGTGTGTATCCATACTCATCCTTACCCCCTTTCCTTAAGAAATGAGGGGTCTACAGCGTTATTATCCACAAAGTTCTGCTGTGCTGCTCTCCGTGGAGAACAAACCCAGCTCCCTCCTGGCAAATGGACAAGGAGCTCAGGGAGTGTGGAAGTGGCTCCCCTGCTTCGTCTGGGCTTGGAGAGACACCTTTTATTGCCAAGTGTCTCTTTCATCAGCACTAAGAATGAAATCAAAGAGAGAAAATAAAAATACAGTGTATTCTCCCCTTCAGAACAGGCTGCAGTGGAAGAAAACAAACTCCAAAGAACCCTTCAGCAATAATAACTTTCTATTTCCTAATGCTCTCAAAGAGAAGGATTACATCCCAAATCTCCCAATCACTTTGGGAACAGGAGCAGTTGAACAAGGAGAAGAAATCTATCAGGTGTGTGCTTTAAGGTACAGTGGGTTGGGAGCAGATCCTTCAAAGGAGCAGATGGAAAATTGACTCTGAAATGTTTTGCATGCAGCAGCCTTAGGGATCATCCCGAGGGATTTGTACCAGAGCTCCCAGGTACAGAGCAATTCCCCCAGGCTGAGATCAGTGCTGTTACATGCACAGGTTAAAGGGCTGTAATCTGGAAATTCCAGGGATAAACTGGCTTTAGGGAGTTTTATCCAAACCAAGGAACATTCTGAATATTTAGAGATCCATGCAAAGCCAAACCTGCTCCCAGCCCTGTTCCTCATCCACATGGGGTAAAGAGATCCTGGAAAAATGCTCCAAGAGCCCCTCCAAGTAGGAAACCACATGTGCTGAAGAAGGCTTTAAAAGTAGCATTTGAGGAACTTTGACTTTTCTACCCCAAGTTCTTGGGGAAGAGAATTTTGGGGCTTTGGATCATGGATTGGTTTACACCACACCAGGTCTGGTGGCAACAGGCAGGGTTCAGCTGTTTCAAAGGGAGGAAAGGATCATCCTGCAGGGGTTAGGAGGGCTCAGGGAAAGAGCTTTAAATAGGATTTGAAGGAGGATGTAAGAGGCCAACAATCACCCAAAATTTGCTGGAAAATGCTCAGGTTCAGAGACATCCCGAGGTCCCTTCCCACCTAAATGATTGTATGGCTCTGTGTCCAAGCTTCCAGGTGGCAGCAA